CATGCCGTTTTGGAGATCGAAAGAGTCTTCGAATGAAAGTTTGACCGATAACTTCTACTATACAAAACCTTTTAAATTCTTATTGTGACAAGATATATTTTTGACACAAATTTAAGCAAATGACTTTCAAAGATCCGATGAGAGTACTAAAAAGTGGTATTCAAAACTATAGAAATGTTACTAGAGCTATCGAAAAGCACTCTGAAAATCTCCCATTCTTATTTTCAGGAAATTTGTACATATACCACCGGCTTCAGAATTAATTAGTTAGGGTAACTCCAACCATTAACAGGAAAAATTGGACTCCATTTGCCCACGGGCGGCATTAGGACAATCGCCATTTGCCCACGAGTTCAGACCCCTCTCGGAGGAGGTAAAAGCCCTACGTCTCGGAACCCTGAGGCGGTCGACTGAAATATGTTATGTGTGTGTGTGTTACAGGGGGTGCGAACCCTTGTCCCAGAGGAGGGGGTGGCTTATATAGAGTGCGCCAGGACCCCAACCCACCTTCGTTATAGGGGTTCAATGTACATTAAGATAGGGTGTTACTGATAACGCCAGCTATAAAGTGTATTTAATGACCTTTAAGACTACGGAGTAAACGCCTTACCGTTGCCGTCCAAAGTGACTCCTGGTCTTCTGTACTCCGAGTGATTTCTTGTTTGGTCGAATGGCTTCGTATTGGTCAAGTGACATGGGGGTATCCGAGTGAGGTGATTGGTCGAGTGGATTGCACTCGGTGGCTTCAGTTGATACTCCCTATTGTGCTCTGAATGTCCTTGCTTCTAGGGTAGTGACCTTGGGTGGGGTGTACAGGTCAGGCCTATGACCCTACCCTAGGTCTATGGCATCGTCATTAGCCCCCAAATGGATTGAGGTCCGAGTGGAAAAGAAGGTTGAAGTTGGCCCTGCCTTGACTCTTGTGCTTCATAAATATTCATGTTGGGTTCGAGGTCCATGTTGGAACTTCAGCTTCGTTTCAGTCGCCTTGATCGTTTCAGAAGTTGTCGAGTGAACTTATGTTGACATTCGTCGAGTGTTGTTTCGGCGCGAAATCTTTGGCGCGATTGGTTACTGTGGATCTCAGATCTCACGGGATTCGAAAATTTGGGGAAGCGCGCAGGCCGGAGCATGCCGTAGTGAGCGGGATAGATAGACGTGGGCACCTCGATTTCCGTGCCACCTTTTTCGCCATGTATCCAACGCGCGACTGTTGCGAGATTTGGCAGGATCGCTCGGGCCCATGCGTCAGCCACTCGGAAGTAGGCCCTTAAAAGGTGTCGAGGTCGAGGTATCCATACTATGCGCTCTCGTTCCCCTCCCCCTTCTCTGCTTCTCCATCGAACCCTCCTCTGCCCTTGCCGCCGCTCTACCAGTGCACCGCCCGCCACCATGGTGAAGGACAAGACGGCGGTGCTGGAGCGTGCAAACAAGGCGACGAGGACGGCGAAGGGCAAGAAAATGAATCAAGGGTCGTTGTCGATGTATGGGCTGCCGCCGGGGTGGATTCAGGGAGATTGGATCTGATCCACCCTCTGGCAAGAGGATCTAGAGGATTTGGCCGCCTCTGGTTTGATCGCTGTCGTGGTTCTAAGGCTGGCAGTAGAAAGGGGGGTAGGTATGGAGAGGCAAGATCTCAGCTATGGTGAAGGTGTACACACGAGGTTTACGAGTTCAGGCCCTTCTCGGAGGAAGTAACAGCCCTACGTCTCGGTGCTCGGAGGCGGTCGACTGGATTATATGTGTGTGATATTACAGGGGGTGCGAACCCTTGTCCCAGAGGAAGGGGGTGGCTTATATAGAGTGCCCCAGGACCCCAGCCATCCTCCATTACAAGGGGCTTAATGTACATAAAGTAGGGGCGTTACTGATAACGCTAATCTTAAGTGCTATTAATGACCTTAAAGACTACAGAGTGAACGTCCGACCGTTGCAATGCTGAGTGACTCCTGATCTTCGGTAGGTCGAGTGATTCCTTGTATGGTCGAGTGACAACAAGCAAGAGGGGTATCCGAGTGATACGACGAGTCGAGTGGATTGCACTCGACACCTTTGACTGGGAGTCCTTCGTTGACTCTTGCGCTTCTTATCTTCTATGGTAGTGACCTTGGGTAGGATGTATAGGTCAGGCTTATGACCCTATCCCAGGTCTGTATACTCGTCAGTAGCCCCCAAATGGATTAAGGTTCGAGTAGAAAGTAGGTTGAAGTTGAGCTTGTTCTGAACCTTGCACCTCACGAATGTTTTTCGCAGGATGGAAGACTGACGTTGGTACTTCAGCGTTGATTCAGACGCCTTGGTCCATTCAGAAAGTTGTCGACTGAACTTGTGGCATCATCGGCCGAGTGTTGTCTTGGGGTGTAGAATCTTTGGCGCAATTGATCGCAGTGTATCCCAGATTTCACGGGATACGAAATTTTGAGGAAGCGCGCGGGACGGTGCCTGCCGAAGTAAGCGGGGAGGATAAACAGTAGTGCCTCGATTACCGGGCCACCTTTTTCGCCACGTATGTTGCGCGCGACTGTTGCGGGATTTGACAGGATAGCCTGGTCCCACGCGTCAGCCACTCGGAAGCAACCCCTTATAAGGCGACGGGGCCGAGGCGTCCGCACTGTGCGCGCCTGCTTCTCTTTCTTCTTCCTCTGCTTCTCCACCGAATCTAGTTCTTCTGCTCTCGACGCTGCCGCTCCGCCGCCATGGTGAAGGATAAGACGGCGGCGCTGGAGCGTGCGAAGAAGGCGACGGGGGCATCCAAAGGCAAGAAGCAGAACCGCGGGTCGTCGTCGCACGCGGGGCTGCCGCCGGGCTGGATCCAGGGCGATTGGATCCGGTCTTCGATCCGGCAAGAAGATCTGGACGAACTGGAGGAGTCTGGGCTGATCGCCAAGGGCGCAGCGAGGCTACCTGAGGGGGAGACGGAGCCGCAGCCTCGATCTGGTGAGTGCGTACTGCTCACCACCCACGTCGACCGGGGTTTTTCGCTCCCACCGCACCCCTTCTTCCTGGGCTTCCTGAACTTCTTCGGTGCCCAACTCTGCTACGTCTTGAGCTTGTGTTGGTTTTCCTTGAAGAGGAAAGGGTGATGCAGCACAATATCGTAAGTATTTCCCTCAGTTTTTGAGAA